ATATCACGAGCAGGTCCCAGGACCAGGATATGCTTATGCTATGTGATAAGACAAATAAAATGGGAGGCCTTCGGAGCTTTAGAGCTGTTTCTCTCCTCAGGAAGCAGAGCCGGTGAGCAGGTCTCAGACAGGTTCCTTGGACAAAACCGCCTTCTGTTTTCATTTCTGTGATGGGAGACTCATGGAAATGGGGAAGAGAGTGAGGCACAATGTTTTGGGTTGACTCCAGAGCCACAGGCTACCAGTTAGACGTAACCAAATATGGATTGAAAACTGAAGGCTCAGACACTGCTTTCTGCCCGTCTCTGGATGTGCCACAAAAGGCATCTGGGCATCTCCCTGGATCCATGCACCACTTGAGGCCTTCTGGGTTCCTTGCCAAGCGGTGCTGTCTGTGGCCACAAGTCCAAGTTCTGGTCAGTGTAATCTAGGCAGAGAATCAACTCACGGCTGCCAGGATCCTTTCTTAAGTTGTGACTCACTTTCCTCTCTTCCTCCTGTGGTGTGGTGCACTGGCGTCATTTACCCTGGGCCATAGGGTTGAGGCCAACACAATCAAGGAAACAATAAGATGGGGATAATGTTTGGATATTTGAGGATCTCTCAGAGGCAGAGACACCCACAGGCCTTAGGCAGGTTATTTCTGGATTTTCCTTACGTAAGAAAAAAGGATATAACAAGTATTTCTCATGGTTGAGCCTCTGTGAAGTTTTTTACACACCTTGCAGCCTTTAATGTTTTTGCTCCTTGGAGATGTGAGCTTTGGAGCTAGCGGGCCACATAGCAAAGTCACTAACCAAAGCTGGGAGAAAGGCAAATACATTTCTTGGAGGCTAATGGGATGTTCTAGGTTCAAATCCCGGCCTGTCACTTTTTGACCACATGGGCTCAGGCAAATGCCTTCACGTGACCTTGGTAAACTGACGCTACTCTATGGAAGGGTTCAGCAATGTGTATCCTAAACAGCTGCTGAGACATTTTAGTCTGTGTTATCAAGGTAGACAATCACCTCTCAGCTTCCAGAGAGTGTGTGATTTCTTGGCTTAGTGCCCTCGACCAATGTGCAATGTGCTTGTCTTTTCAAGCTCAGCCACCCCAGTCTACAGCTTAGCTTTCAGCTCCAGCATGGGAGCTTGCTCCCTCCAGTGCTTAAAGTTACGTGTGGCTTTTTTAGCGTTCAATTCCACTGACGTCCAGACGCTGACCTTTCACAAAAATTCTTCAGGTCCCCCTCAGCTTGGGAAGCTCAGGGATTCAGTGGCCACTAACATCTGGTGATCCCTTTTGTAATGGATGAAAGACTGAGGCCAAAGTTGTTTGCTGTACAACTCCAAATATATTGTGGTGGATTTGAGCTCCACTCACTCACTGCTTTCTTGCCAGCCTATCTAATTTCTCTTGGGCCCAGTTAATCTTATTTATATATGAGTACAATGAAATCAGTCCTACAGCTAAGCCAGATGAGGTTATAAGATGTCTGGCACATACTAGGGAAAGAGAGAGAGAGAGACTTGTAGCTTTCTGGCTCTCCCAGTTTTACTTGCTGATGCCCAGCTCCTTGCCTTAATACCATGAGCTGACAGTTCAGATTCTCAAACAGCAAGCGGAAAGGCTCACTAGCAGCCAGAGCACAGGCCTAATGTTCTCACCCAGTGGCTCCTGGAAAGTCACTCCCTTCTCCAAGTTTTCATCTCTTTATCTGTGGTGCGCATACTCGGTCGCCTCTGTCAGATCTTAATGTTTTGTGTCTCTGGTATTATAGTTGTCACATTAGGAGCCAGTGATAAACTGGCTGGCTGGATAGACAGATGAGGGAATGGGTAGTGAAGAAGAGGCAGGCCCTGTATCCACCCCTTAGAGCTCTACAGAAACCCCAGACCAACACAGTGGCTGTCTAGAGCACCAACAGAAACCTCTAGATAGGGACGGTCTGGATACGTGGAGTCTCCTTTTATTTGCCCCAGCAAGCAATTCTCTAAATAACATTCTAGAACTACCTGCATTGGAACTATCTTCTTAAAACTAATGCTTCCTTGTCTTCGGCAAAGGCCCGCCAAAGTGTAAACTCTGGGGTGGGCTGTAGATTTTGTGTGCTTCTGCTGTGATGTGAAATTACACTGCATTTTGAAGGCAACTATTAGTCCTTGGGTTTTCCAGTCTTTGGGTGATCCAAAACTGTGGACTGTGCTTTCAAGGATGTGGGGAGTGCCTCGCTCCAGCTCAGCTGTCACCTTCCTGGTTTGTTCCTGTCCACTCCTGTGTTGAAGTCTCCGGGAGAACCAGACAGCTCCTCCTGTTCCTTTAGCTCAGTTACTGCAATGCCTAGACTTGGCCAGCAGGGGTCGCTGGAGGTCTACATATTTTGTACCTGCTGATTTGCCTCCTAGTCTTAAAAATCTTCATTACTTTTTCTTTTAAAAGTGTGTGTGTGGGGGGGGAGTCAACCTTTAATACCTGTTACCTTAGAAAACTAGAAGGAAGAAAAACCCAAATGTTTCTGGAAAAATAAAATTTCTTGTCTCTTTAATAGAATCAACCAATTTCTTATTCCTCCCCCAGGGCGCCCCCCCCCCCCCCCCCAGCCTATGGGGACTTAGGACACAGGGACACACTTTCTAAATAAGGCAGTCACTTGTCCGAGATTCCATTCCTTAGGCACCGGAAGGAGGTAACTCACAAGTTCATCTTGTTGGATAATATAGCACCATGGATGCCTCTCGAGGAGGCGGCTACACTGACCCGTCCTTTACAACCCAGAATGCGTCTGTCTTTTCCCAGCCTGAGGGAATTTGTTAAACATTCAGTTTCTGATAGATTGTTTCTACTCTATGAAAGTGTATGTTTCTGTGGAAGAAATTATAAGCTGCGGATATGCAAAAGAGAAGCGATGTTGATTCACTGACACAACTAATATAAATGTTTGATTGCAGGCATCCCCTCACTGAGACACACAGATACATACAGACACCCACACTGACAAACACAGACAGACACACTCACATAGACTTAGAGAGGTACACACACACACACACACACACACACACACACACACACACTCACACATAGAGATGGGGGATAGAAGGGGAGAGAGGGAGAGAGATCCACATATGCATTCAGAGATACACAGAGAGATACGCTCAGAGGCACAACACAGCAGCATGTTAATATGTTTTCTCATATTGTGCACATGTGTCACACACACACACACTCACACTGAAGCATGTGCATCAATACACCTGTTCATATTGTGTGCAATGTTTTCTCACCTGCCCTTTCACAAGCTGTCAACAATTTCATGGTCATGAACAAGCATCCCATTCCTCAGTTAAAATGGCTGCAAGGCATCCTCTCTCATGGATGACCCACCATGTTTTCAATGAATCCGTTGGTGAAAAAATGCAAACGCCACGAAGAACTTAGGGATGTGTGACTACCCTGAGATGGCCATTCTCTGATGTCAGCCTGCATGCATGTCCTTAGTGACATCCGGTCTGCTGGAGTTTTATAGGCCTTTGAGTGGTCTGTGATATGCACGTTGTGGTTTTGTACACAGTTTTGGAATGGTGTAGATGCACCCGTGTCTAGGCAGACCTGGACATTTTTTTTTTTTTATCTGAGTTGACTTTTTAAAAATCTTTCTTTTCCCTGTATTTCTACACCGTTGTCAATGGAATGTCAATATCCACCTTTCAGTTTTTCTCTGCTTCTAACCCAAAATGGAGAAGGTAACAGCTGGCTACATTGACATGTTGTTTCACTCCCATGGTTTCCAAGTTGCCATCTAATGTATCCAGTACATAGCTTCATCGCCCTGGACAAAGCCCCTTTGAGTGTTCTAGTGTCCTCCAGGACTCCAGTGGGTGGTGGGAGAGGATGAGAGGCCAGGGAATGGATAGTATATTTGAGACCCAAAGACTCTAGTGCAGTTTGGAGGCATCCACCTTGAAGAACTCAGGCCTGGAGGGAAACTTGCTGGGGACAGATTGAGGGGAGGAGGGTGGTGCTGAGCAGTGTCCACTGTTCAGCCTCACATGTCACTTTGGGATGGCACTTTGGTTTTCATGCTCTTCCGTTGCAGGCCGTGTTGAGCTGAGTGCAGGGTGCACATTATAAACTGCCCTACAAGGCATCGCTCCACACTGGGCATGGACTCGCCAAGATTCATGCATTCCTTTGTACCTTTCTTCTAGCTTGGTGCTCATTTTCTCTCTCACTTAGATCCTCACAACCAGTCCACTTTCTAGTGGGGTTCTAAGGGACCTTCCATTTTTCTGCTGCACTTACATTTTTTTGGGGAACCTGCAATAGAGAGTTTGATGGGCTGGGCCCTAGTGAATAGCTTAGTTCCCTACCTATTTCACAGAGGAAGGGACTCAGGTTCACGATGCAGCACTCTGCCCAAGGCTGCACAGCTAATGAGTGGAGCACCAGGAGCCCCACACATCTGCAGATTTGTGGGCCTGACAGACTAGTCAGCCATGCTCTGGGGCAGCTGGAGGGAAAGGCTGCAAGAAGCTAAGGGATGTTACTGGGTGGTGGAAAGGCAGCAATCTGAGATGACTGCATTTTCTGAAATCTAGGCTAACATGTGTAACTTGCCTGTAATCCAAAGCTACATCGAAATGATGCTCTGGATGTCTGAGGTTAGACCACAAGAAGGCTGTAGCATTTGTCCTGGTTCCTTGAGTTGCTATTCTGTGGGCTTTCCTTCCTGGGATGCACTCTCTTTTAAAACCCTGTCACGAGTGGGTGACAAGTCCAGCCCATGTCGAGGGTGCTTGCCTTCTAGATGTTCGGGTCCAAGCGTCAGCCACCTGCGTGAAGGACCCCTACTGTCAGAGTCTTCTCCACTGAGGCCCAGACATGGGGGCTGTGCAGAGAGAGACAGTCATTGCTCCTTCACATATACAGCAAAGAAAGAGAATCAGAAAAGAATAGAAAGGAAAGCCCAATAGGCCAGGTTATCTCATCACCTAGAGGACACAGAACCCATGACTCACCTTTGGTACTGCTGAGGTGTGGCCATGACCTAGGGCAGAAAAGAAAACAAACTTGAGTGTCAGCTACTGAATTCAACACTGTCTCCAAAGCAGCAGGTACTCCCAAGATGCATTTCACCACTCATTCTGTGAAAATTTTGCCTGCATGGTCACATCTGTGCAGGTGTATAGGTGTGAATGTTCATGCATATATTGCTGCACATGTGTGTGTATGTGTGCACATGTGTGAGCATATATGTGGAGGTCAAAGGGCATCTCAGTTTGTTCCTCAGTTGTGATGTATCTTGGCATTTTGAGACAGGGTTTGTCACTGGGCTAGAGCTCACCATGGATGCTGGTCTGGCCAGTTAGTCCCAGGGATCATCTTATTTCCATCTCCTCAGTGCTGGATTATAAACATGTACTACTACTTCTGGCTTTAAAAATCTATTTATTTATTATTTGGTCCTTTTTTATGTGGGAGGGAACTCAGGTCCTTATACTTGCTAGGGAAGTACTTTACCCTCTGAGGAATCACTCACCCAGCCCCAGCCTGTGTACTACAAACAGAAAGCAATCCCCATGTGTTTGTATCACTGTAGGCTTGAAGTAATGTTTTGTTAGAGGCAATATAGAAGATAGACGACATAGACGAGAAAGAAAATCAATACCATGCATGTGTGTGCAATGAGGATGCACGCACACATTTAAAATCAAAGCAAGGTATTATTGTGTTTAAACGATGCATGCACGTGCATGCATGTGTGTGTGTGCATGAGTGCATGCCTGCATGCATGCATGTGTGCATGCGTGTGTGTGTGTGTGTGTGTGTGTGTGTGTGTGTGTGTGTGTGTGTGTGTGTGTGTGTGTATGGTTGTTCCCATGTCATGGCACATGTGTGGAGGTCAGGGGTCAGCTCTTTGGACTTGGTTCTCTGCATCTACCCTGTTGAGGCTTCTGGTTTCTGTCTTCACCCTCCTGGGTAGCCAGTCCTGTAAGCTGCCAGGCAATGCTTCCATCTCACCTATGAGGACTGTGCTTACAGATGTCTGTCTCACACTAGGCCTTTTGGCTGGGTTACAAGTATGGAACTCAAGTCATCACGGCTGCATCAGCACTCTGACCCACTGAGATGTCTTGCAGGCCCATAGGCACACATTAAGTATATAGGTGCTTAAGTGTCATTCTATGAGAGCATGTAGGATGGCACTGTGACACTTTATTATGCAGTGTTATTGAAAAACGTATTTGCTGGCTGTGTGGCACTTTTGGAGCAGATTTAGGTTCCTGCTAATTTTGACTACTGTATACAAGATTGCAAAGCTCATCCATTCTGGCATTTCGGTCTCATCTCTGAATGTCTTCATGGATGGACAATACTCTAGTTAAAGGAAAGTGCTGAGTAGTGCGGGCATCCTCAGGCCCTTGTAGCCTATTTCTCAGGTGCTTTCTGGATGGTCTGTATTGATGCGTATTCACCGACATTCTTATCCACTGACTGTGAAGTGACCATCCACCGTGTCTCCCCACCAGGATCCACGTTCCAGTCCTACTGTACCCACTTGACAGCTGACCCTTATCACACCTGTTTCATTTCTGAGACAGCTAAGGAGTCTGGATTATTACGTGCATTTCCTCTTGGGCAAATCACATGGGCATGTCCTCGCTCATGTTCTGATGACAAGTTCTTGGCACAGTCACCAACGTCACCCTTGGACAGTGTCCTCTTGGGAGCAACTTTTCCCTAGATTTGGGCTGTGGTCTGAAAAGCCCCAGGGCAATGGAAAGCTCCACAGGCCGCTGCTTCCGCGCACTGACTTGTTTGTGCATTTAATAACCCCTGGCTCTCTATGCACACCTTCCCTCCGAGGCTCTCGAAGTGCGTCACAGCTGCAATTAATTGAGCATCGCAACACACATTGCGTGTAAATATTTATGAGGCCTATCTGGTGGCTGGGACGCTGGGCACACACTAGTTAAGCAATGAAGCGTCAGTAACCAGGAGACCGGAGCTCAGGAGTCCAGATTCCTGCCTATCCTGATGCCCTCCCCTCATCTTCCAAATGACCTTGGGGAACTATTGTCTTCCCAGACAAGAAACAGGGCGCAGGGCTGCACAAATAGCCCAATCCAGACAGCCATTGAGAGACAAGGAAATTGCCTCAAGCTTGGCTTCCCCTCCAGCCTGCTCTCCCTACCCATACCTATGGGATGGGATGAGTCTCACTTGGGAGCAGCAGTGCATCTGCAGCCTAGAGCCCTGTGGTTAGCTGTGGGTACCCTTTCAAGTTGCCTGAGCTTCAGCAGGGACTAACAGTCCATTACCTAGTGAGAAGCAAATCCTTTGTGGGGGCCTGTGAGTACTCTCTCCTGTCACCCTGGACACATGGTCTTTCCCTTGAATTTCTGGCCATTCATTAAGCCTCACAAGGCTTCCAGACGTGCAACTTATGACATGTGCAGTAGAATTGTGTACAGTGAGCTCATTATGAATGGAGTAAGTATCCCAGGGACTCTAGGTTGGGATTCCAAAGTGGGCCGGGTGTAGGTGTGAACCTGGGACTTCTGAGCCTCAGGAGGAGTCTTCTGCAGGTCCTAGGGAGGACTCTGACTTTTGTATTCACTGTCTTCTGACTTTGGCCTCCCCTGTATCTTAGAAGGTAACTCTGGCGATCACATAGTCTGATTTGCTGGTTCGACAAAGCTGAGGCCTGAGCTGGGCTCGTGTTTCCCCTCTCCTCAGATCCTGGGCTGAGGCCCTTTGGCACACAATAAGCTGAACAAAAGATGATGGAAAACAAAGTCAAACCAAACCTTGAGTGCCTGTCTGGGTACTGACCCGCCTCCACTCTTTTTGGCAGAGTTTGACCTATTTACATTTACCTTCTCAATTTCTGTTCCCTGCAGATGCAATGTTTTTTATTTTACATTTATGGATTGATCAATTAACAAAAAAATTTTTTGAGACAAAGTCTGTCTATAGTCCAGGCTGGCCTTGCTTTGAACTCTCTATAATCCTTGTGTTTCAGCACCCAGGGTGCTAGGATTACAGATATGTAACGGCCTGGCTCCTTCTTTTATTTTTGACTTACAGAAAGCCATAGCTGTCACTGTATGGATGCTCTGAAGAGACAAATACTAGCCAGCATTGCTGTTAGGATGACACAGAATGGAAGGACGACTGCCAGGGACAGGAGAAGGATGGGGCACTCAAGGGTACAGTGTTTTGGTTTTTACAAGAAAACAGGTCTTACGGATGATCTAGTGGCTGCAGCGTGCCCATAGTTAACGGTGCTGTGTGCACAGCTGAATGTGTGGGCGCTGATTTCATGTTATGTGTTTTTATGTTATACACAAGTAATAGTAATACACAAGGGCAGAGAAGCCATTTGGAGGCAATAGATACAGGTTTCTGGCATAGGCTTTAGCCAATTGGATCTCCATCTTCCACTCTGCAGATGTAACTAAAACTTAACCCGCCTAGAGTGGCACAACAAACGATTGCCAGAGTCAGGTTTCCACTCCGAGTTCCCTGTTATTCGCAAGCCTAGAGCAGCAACACAGCTTGCAGAGGGCTGTGCATCTGGAATTTTCCTCCCTATTGCCAAGGCTGTCTGAAAGTGGCTTATCTGCTTCACTCTGGGTGGGGCCTCAAAATGATGGTTGGGTATTCATATGTCATGTCCCTGGGGATTCCGCACCCTGGGGGCTGTCTGTGCGTCAATGCAAGCATGTGAATTAGCAGAGGAAGCCTCAGCAAAACAGGGAAGGGGAGGGGTGTTATTCCAGCTGAGCCTGCTGCTATCCAGAGAGCTGATCGAGACATGGCTTGGGGGTGGGGAGGCTGGCGCTGTTGCCTGAGATGGAAGAAGAGGGAGGCTGGACACCGTGGGTTCGTCTGGATGGAGTGTGGACATCATCCTGACATTAGCAGCTGCCGAGCTCTCTGGAAAGGCTCCTGTGTTAGTGCTCTTTGCAGCCTGACAGCCCATGGTGACGAATGAAAGATGCTGCTCACTGACTTCATGGGGATTTGATGTGCTCTGCCTGTGCTCCAGCGAGGCCGGCCTGTTAGCAAGCTGCCCTTTGCCAGGGAATCACAAGGTGCATTCTGGCTTCCTTTTGTCAACAGCATCAATAACATAGCCATGTGCAAATGGGCCACAGCTGGATAGAGCACAAGACTGGCAGCATCCTCTGCCCGTATACTCGAGGCTCCCTTCCACAATTGGGCCTGAAGGAAGCAGGGTTTCCTTCCTTGGCTTTTCCTGTGTGCATGTGGCAGATGTCCTCACTGTGGCAGGCAACTCCACGAACTATAGAATGATCAAGGTTGGCCTTCCTGCGTCTGTGGTTTTCTGATATGTAATCTTATTATAAATAGATTTGAAATTGGGAGTTATTTTTAATTTTTAATTCTTTTAAATAATTTAATGCATTTAATGAGCTTTAATTTTTAAAGGATACCAAAACAAACTCTCCCCTCCCCCACCTCTCCTGCTGCCTGGCACACTGGATGTGTTCCTGTGTCCTTCCTATCCATGGGAACACAGTGTAGATGGTGTGTTATTTGGGTCCCATAGAGATGGGACTCAGCCCTGTCTCCAGGGTTGACCTCCTGGAATGGAGACTAATAACTCACTGTCCCTTGAAATTTGGCAGGAAACCCTCGGGAAGTGATCCATGTGATGTTACATCATCAGCCTTCTTCATCTCCCAAGCTTCCAGGAGTGACTGATTTGAATTGTGCATCTTATGTAAGCACTATTCATGAAATAGCAAGGTAACTCCAGGATCAAATTCTATAGCCTTTGAAAGACAATTGATGTGTTTAGGAGTCACTAAACTTGTTTTAAACACAGAGAGATGTGAAGGAGAACACAAATTTCTAAGTTTGTGATTTTCCCCTCTTGACTTGAATATATGCACTGGGAACTGAGCATGTTACAAAAATGATCTCACACAAACTTTGTCCTGGGGAACAGTATCTTTGTCCCCAAATTGAGGATCTTATAGAACGCTTGTGTCAAATAGGGTGTCAAAGATATTA